GCAAAACATTTTTACCCCAGCATGTTCCCTTAAATCCAGCTTATATATTTTGTCATTTAACCCTAAAGAAAAAGGCTAGTTTAAAATAGACTTAAACACAAATAAGCAAAACAGGACACACATTTCAGACAAACTCTTCATTTGCTATTTAAAACATTTATTTTTATAATTCTTCCAGACAGTCTGCATTCATCAAGCTAAAAATGGCCTTCCTGCAAACTAAACAGAATGTTAAGCACAAATAAAAAAAAAATACTCAAAGAAACAAAAGAAAGTCAGTTTTAGAGGAACAGGCAAGTCCAACAGGTTTCTGCAACCAAAGGTAAAGCTTTGTGAAAAAAGGAATGTGAGAAAAAAGAATTTAACAGTTGACAGGTGGAGTTATAGTGAAATCCCCTCCGCTGCCTTTGGCTATGAAGATGCTGCCAGCTTTTAAACACAAACCTTCTTTTACGAACTTTTACTGCCAGCAATGCTTTGAAACAACAGGGCGGGACGCATGTCAGACATAACTGCAAAATTAATTTAAGTTTAAAGAAAAGACAGAAAAAAAATAAAAAGTGAGTGATTTAATTTCAATGGTTTACTAGTTTTTTCACTAATTGAAGTTTAGGTAAAACCTCATGATGTGGTCCTAATCCAGATATGGAGGGATGAACATCTGTCTCTGTTTTTATTAACCATTCTAATGCATTGCAACCCTAATATCTATATTATTACTTTAACCATAAAGATAATTAACAACATTTAGATAAGTGTATTAAACAAATGCAAATAAATAGATTTGTAATTGTGAATTGAGAGTGAAATATAAATGATTTCAATATTTTTCTGATGCAAATAAAAATATAAAAAACATAGCATGTGTGAATTATAGGCAGGTGTTCAGTCCCCTTAACTTCTATACCTCTTAAATGACATCATAAGCAAAACATTTCAGTCATTCAAGATGTTCTATGGAGGATGTTTGGAAGAGAAAATTACTTAACAAGATGCATATAGGAAACCAAAAAAAAAAAGACAAAGAAAAATTAATTGATAGATTTGTGGAAAAATTTAAAGCAGGATTATATTTTTTTTGCACATTGAATAGCACTACTGCATTGAAGCAAGAAGGTTCGATACCCAGCCAGTAGGCTTTCTGCATGGAGTTTGCATGTTCTCCCTAAAGTAGGCATGCGTTGGCTCTTTCCAGCTAGTACAGGTCCCTCCCACAGTCTAAAAACCTGACTGTTAGGATAATTGGCTTCTCTAAATTCTCCTCAGGTGTGAGTGTGAATGGTTGTTTGTCCCGTTTGTCTCTGTGTTGCCCTGCGATAGACTGGCGACCTGTCCATGGTGTACCTATTGGTAAAATGGTAAATGGCCTGTGCTTATATAATGCTTTTTCAAGTCAGGAGACTTGACCAAGGCGCTTTACACTACATTCAGTCATTCACCCATTCATGCACATACTCACACACTGATGGTGGCAAGCTATTATCGTAGTCACAGCTGCCCTGGGGCTCACTGACAGAAGTGAGGCTGCCATACACTGGTGCCACCGTACCCTCTGACCACCATCAGTATTGACAGCAGAGATAGGCAACAGCGCCCCTCATGACTGCGGGATGGATGGAACATAGCATTCTTTTATACCTTAGGCTGCACTTTTCAATCCACTGACCAAAAATGTTAATTATAATAATCAGAGAAACATGTGAGAGCCCGATATCAGCTTAAAATCAGCAACTAAGATTCATAGATCAGGTGGGGAAATCAGTTAAAGAGCATATATTAGTCACAAACCCTATAAATCTTGCTTTTGCATGAGAGCAGTGCCAAGAAAGTTATTTTTAAAAAGGGCCACTTGACAATTTGAAGATGACAGTTTGCCTCAAGGCAAGCCAGCAGCAACTATGTGAAAGAAGGTGATATAGTCACAATAACCAAAATGAAACTTTCTGGCTTAGTTGTTTTTTTATTACTCTAAAGACACAATAGGTGATCTTTGTGGCAGATACATACTGTGGGAATTTTTTTATCCTCAGCAGGATCCCTGAAAACTTGAGCAGAGGTTCCTCAACCAGCATGACTTTTACCTTAAACATACAGACAGTGCTAGAAAGTGGTTGTTTAGATCAAAGCATGCTGTGGTAGAATGACCCAGTCAGAAACTAGGCCCTAAAGTGACTGAGAACTTTTAGAAGCCTTAAAAAACTGCATCCACCAAATCTCATCATCTAATCGGGTTCAACAAGCCATTTTCTATTAATGATATGGTAGAATTTCAGTTTTAGAAGATGAAGAAAGTTTCCTCATATTTGCAACAGTAATCAGAGTGAAGCTGTTTTACACACCATTAAAGCTTCAGTTTGAGACAACGTGAAAGGGATCAGCAGGAAGGAATTCCCTTTTAAAGCAATGTACTTAACTAGAGCAAGATTAGACCCAATATGCATCAGTTTATATGGCATACATGGACATTGGAGCACCTGCCACACCTCCATAACCTGACCTGATGTTCTTAATCCCAGCAAACCTGTATGAAACCTTTGTTCTGTTACCTGCTGTAACACAAAGACCAAAGGGAATACCACCTGTGTAGTCTTAAATATCACAGTTTATCAAACAAACACATAAGGCCCTGCTATAAGGTTATTTAAAACCTAGCTTGCATTTACGTCTCACACACACTGATTCATGATTGGAAATGCTCTGCATGGATATATCAGTTCAGTTTTGAGCACCTCTGCCACTGAAGTGTTCTGTGTGAAGAAAGATAGCCTGTCAAGCCACACCTTAGACATTATTAGGTGTCCACACCCAGTTTACACATACTATTGCGGTACAAACACAAAGTCTATGAAGCAAGTAGTAGATTCTCTATCATAGCTTATTATGACCTGTATTCTCTTTATATGCAATTTTCCCACTGTACTGTGCATCTAATCAGGTTACATTCATCCATGCATTTCATTCCGCTACTTGTTCTGCTTTCATTTCCGACTTACGCTTTTCAAGAAATCTCCAATGTGAGGGTTATAGAAGCCTATTTGATGCACCGATGAGGAAGCCAGAATGGGTGGAGAGGCCTTGTAACAGCAAACACCATAAAATCTCTGAGATATAAATGAAGAGCCCTCTCATCCCTACTCCTTTACTACTATTTAAGATGATTTAGATCAAGTCAAATGGGACTTAAAGTATAAACTAAATGTATTTTCAATTTATAAATCCATAGTATTGAAAAGAGAAATGTTCTATTGTAAGAGAGGATACTCCTCTTTTTCTTTCGGGGCAGTACAGCATGCCAATCAACCTATTGCAGGAAGCACTGGCTTAGCTAATCACATTTAATCCACTAACTGCTGACACACAATGAAGTCTGCAATGCTCTAAACCGGAGGTCTTCAACAGGGGGGTCCGTGACCCCTAGGGGTTACACGGAGGTACTGCATGGGGGTCGCGAAAGTTTTGGTTGATTAGACTTTTTTCTTTAATTCCCTCCTCCAATTTTTTCCACTAATTGAAATGTCTTTACATCCACATTAACATGAATTCAACACACTGTAATAAACAGATAAATGGAGGCAAAAGATGGAGGACCAGATTGATATAACACAATTTCATACAATATATATAATTAGGGGGTCCCCGCTCCATCTCACCATCAGTTTGGGGGTCCTTTGCCTGGAAAACGTTGAAGACCCCTGCTCTTAACTGTTCTATACTATAGCCATGGCCAATGATGAAATCTTTAGAATAGACTAAGCTGTTTTTATGTGCCCATTTTTTCCTTATGATTATAAGATTTGTGAACAGAAAACTCTGCCTATCTGAGGTATTTGGCAAAGCTGCTCTATCACTGGTTTGATTTATTGACATCTGTACACAACAACAGTACTCACTGACTAATGCTGTCAAAATGTGCTGCACAGCTTCAAATTGGAAAAGACAAATGATGGTACTTGCAAGATTTTCTGAGTGTTGATGAGTAAAATGTCATGAAAAGTAAATATATGTTCTCCCATGAGATACAGCAGAGAAAGAGTTTGAGCTTTCACTTAAAATTTGACACCTTTGGTAGAAACTGAAGGCATGTGCATGTGAAAAGCTTGTGAAGGATGAAAACAAATCTTGGGCTCTTCTCCAAAATAAAGTGGCCAGAAAAACTTTAACAGGTTTAATGCACACTGAATAACCTTCGGGGATATACTAAAACACAATATCTTAAGTCTGACAGGCCTAAAGTGCAGAATTTTTAGGTCTCTGTGCTTTTAAAGTCAACAAAAACCTTTTATTCTGAAAAATAACTGTACGTGCCCTTTTGTTCATTTGTTATTTTATGCTATGCTTTTAGCCAGCAGGTCCTGTTGACAGAGGACTTTATAAGTATTGATCTTCTGTCTTTCAAAGGAAAACAGCAGATGTTCTGATGCTTCAAGAGCTTCAAATGCGAATCCGACATGCCAGGTTGTAAGAAAAGTAAGGCCATTAGAGAATCCATCACTTCAAATGACCAAATGTACATAATTAGTCCATAACTATTACAGCACTGATCATAGAGCTGGCTGTCTGTGCGGGAATTAATTTGTGCGTCCTAGAGGTAAAACTAATGTGGAATTTTTCACACATCATCCTTTTCCCAAGGTGATGCATTTCATTCAACTATTTATTTTCACCATTTTTTGTCAGCAACCTGTGTGGTTGTAAAGGAAATGTTTATGTAATCCAAATAAACCAAAGACACCCCAATAAGGGATGGCTTTTTAACACCGTAGTACTTTAACCTGTACCTTTCTTTTCTTTGTCGTTGGAATCTGTCCCGTGGTTGGGCGTGTCACAGCTTATCTCCCAACAATCCCTCCCTACCTGTTAAACAGGACTGGCCACTACTGTCTCTTAGCTACCTTGGGTGTGGAGGGGGAGGCTTTACTGCAAAAGTGAGAGAACAGGTTAAGGTGGCTGAAGAAGATCCTTCCCCCCTGGTTTGGTACAGTATAAAAGGAGGCAGCAGCAGCAGTCAGACACTCAGAGGGACTTGGCTCTCCTTTTGAAGCTTGCACATCCTCAGCTTTCTTTTGCTCAGCCAGCGGACAATCTTTAACACTGCCAGAATGAGGAAGGCAAGGTCAACCATAAGCTCCAGCAGCATCAGAAGATCCTATGCAACACCAGTCAGCTCATACAGAGCTGAGTCTATCAGCTATGGCGGTGGACCCAGCTTCAGCTCTTCATCTGGCTATGGTGGTTTCAGCAGCATGTCTTCAAGGTCCATGGGTGGTATGGGCCAGCAGAGTATGATGCATGCAACAATTACACCTGTCCAGACCAACCCAAGCCTGCTGAACCCACTGAACCTGGAGTTTGACAAAACCATCTCGGTTGTCCGCACCCAGGAAAAGGATCAGATCAAGACCCTCAACAACCGCTTCGCCTCCTTCATTGACAAGGTTGGTGTCTACCTCTATGTACCAGTTTAGTTACAATGAATTATTTTCATCAAAAAACTAATTTTAAATATCTGTAGGAAAGAAAATGAGGAGTTAAGTTAAAAGGATGCAAGAGTTTAGTATTTGGGATCTTTGAAATTGAAAGTTGAGGAAACTGCAGAGCAGGGAGGCTGTGAATCTTATCTTTGTGGCATAATCATCTCTGGCCTGCTGTGTCTTTAACTACAGAAGCTCATAAAATGAAGGCAGGCAGTCATATGACGGTTTTCCTCTTCCTCCCTTTTTTCACTCTTAAATCTACTGTTTTATTTCACTGCCTCGTCTTAGCATGTTACAGTCATTTCTGCCCACTAAGTAAACATAGCCATTAATCCTATCAATGCTAATTTCTCAATTGCCTGACTTGTGTGAAGAATAGAGCACTGCTACCACAGAGTCCAAAGTCTGCCATTTGCACATTGCACACCTATCACCTGGTTGTCAGGAGCAACATGAATGTTAACTACAAGGCTGTAAATCCTCTTTCACCTGATTTTAATCATAAAACCACAAATTTCAATACCTTTTATGTCAGTTATGTCCTCTGTCTTGCTCTGCAGATTCCACAAATTCGTCAGGAAAAAAAACATTTGACCATTTTCAAGTGTTTTGTCTTCTGTACTTAAAGTCACACATCTAGTTTTTTTGTGGGTAGAGAAACTGTGGCTTTGTGGCTGAACAGAGCGTGTAGGATGAGTCATGGCTCAACATGACATACAATACGTCAGACACTACTGGTTTTATGACCATTGGGGTGTCACCTGCATGGGGTGTTATATTGCCAAAGAAAAATTCCAAATTGAAGAGGTTTTAGGCAACATAAAATCAAATCTTTAAATAGCTTGAACTCATAGGATGCTGTGCAGGGTTATAACTGTTTCCGTTAGGGTGTGGCGGTCTTTGAAAGGTATGTATTTAATTAGTCACCTAGTTGAGAGGAGGCACTTCAAAGCCTCATTCCTGAAATGCCACACCTTTCAAATCATTGTTTCACACAACTCCTCCCAGTTTTATTTTCTAGTCTTGTTTTACCCTTGCATTTATAATTATTCAGTTTCAATTAAACCAAACGTTAACTGTCACTCATTTAAAATATGTTGAAGGCTATAAAACACTTAAAAAAACCAAACAGGAGACAATGTTTTCATTTCCTTCCTCTTTTTCCCCCAGGTCCGTTTCCTGGAACAGCAGAACAAGATGCTGGAGACCAAGTGGAGTCTTCTGCAGGAACAAACCACAACCCACTCCAACATTGACAGCATGTTCGAGGCCTACATTGCTAACCTGCGCAGACAACTTGATGGTCTTGGAAATGAGAAGATGAAGCTGGAGGGAGAGCTGAAGAACATGCAGGGCCTGGTTGAGGACTTCAAGATGAAGTCAGTATTTTTCTTTTTTTTTAATGACCGATGCATATCCAGAAATCGATTATAGAATAGATTTGGAAAAGTAATATCTCATTTATTTTCTCTGTGTTAAAAAAGGTATGAGGATGAAATCAACAAGCGTGCTGCAGCTGAGAACGAGTTTGTCCTCCTGAAGAAGGTGAGATAACTTTAACTTGACTCTCTTGCTTCCATTTATTTCCGTTTTTTTGATTATTTATTTATTATTCTTGTTTGTTTTGCAGGATGTTGATGCGGCCTACATGAACAAGGTGGAGCTGGAGGCTAAAGTCGATGCTCTTCAGGATGAGATTAACTTCCTCAGGGCTGTATATGAGACTGTACGTACAACTTTTATTGTTTAAATCAAGCTACGTGATATAGAGTTATAACTTGTGTTCATCAACATAAGCTACAAATGAGCTTTATTTTGTATTTTTTGTGTTGTAGGAGCTCCGTGAGCTGCAGGGCCAGATCAAGGACACCTCTGTTATTGTTGAGATGGACAACAGCCGTAACCTTGACATGGATGCCATTGTGGCTGAAGTGCGTGCTCAGTATGAGGACATTGCTAACCGCAGCAAGGCTGAGGCAGAAACCTGGTACAAGCAGAAGGTATAAATCAGAAAATTGATGCCCCTCCCTCACCATTCTACAAGCAGCCATCTTTCTGGTTGGATTGGATGTCTTTAATCACACTTCTCTTGTTTTTATTTGACAGTATGATGAGATACAGTCCTCTGCTGGACAGTATGAGACAGACCTGCGCTCAACAAAGGCTGAGATTGCTGACCTGAACCGAATGATTGCACGTCTTCAGAATGAGATTGAAGCCATCAAGGCACAGGTACACTTTAATAACCTCTTGTCTGTAAAATGGCTTTCAAAGTTATGTCTAGGTGTTAAATTATGACATCATTCATCAGAGAGCCAACCTGGAGGCTCAGATCACAGAGGCTGAGGAACGTGGTGAGCTGACAGTAAAGGATGCCAAGGCTCGCATCAAGGATCTGGAGGATGCTTTGAACAGAGCCAAGACAGAGATGGCCCAACAGGTGCGCCAATACCAGGACCTGATGAACATCAAGCTTGCCTTGGACATTGAGATCGCCACCTACAGGAAACTGCTGGAAGGGGAGGAGTCCAGGTGGGGATAAAACAAAAAAAATTTGATGTTTTTAGGCTAAACTGTAGGCTTAATCACCACATTAAACACTAACAATCTATTGTTTCCTTTGAAGACTGTCTGGTGGAGGAAGCAGTGCCACTATCCATGTGACTTCTTCATCCGGCGGTAAGCTATACATCATCATCATGTGTATCAATAATCCACAGAATAGCAAAGAGAAAAATAACCTTTCCTCTCTCATTTCCCGCTGCAGGAGTGACCAGTAGCAGCGGTGGATTTGGCTATGGTGGATCCAGTTCTTATGGTGGATCCAGTGGTTATGGTGGTAGCACCATCGCCACCAAGTCCATCACCACACAGAGCAGTTCCAGAAGACTTTACTAAAGTCTTTTAAAAGGAGAGCCTCTCTTTGCAACCTTCAGAAACTTTTGAATTAATGCTTAATCTCTACCTTTTCATGGTGCTAAGTAATGCTGTAACATTTTTTCAAGAAATGAGCTGAGCATCCCCTACAATAAAAAAAAAACAAATTTTCAAACCGGCAACTACTTTCTGTTCTGTTAAACAACCTAAAACAGAAGTTTCTGAAGGCTCAGGTCAGTTAAAATGGCAATGTTTTATTTTCTTTCTGCACTGACATCTGGAAAAAAACATGAAAAAAAGAAGAAACAAAGGTTGATGTGGAGTGATGAAACAGAGAGAGTTTGAACATCTTGCTGTCACTGATTAAACCTAAATGTTTGATAAATGCAGGGTTAAAAAAAATTGTGTGAATTTACATGTTTACACTTAAACCCTCTGAGCTAGTTGTGACTTTTCCTTTTTTTTTTTTTTTTGTTCAAACTCACCTCTAGTTTTTCCTCCAGTTGCCTTTTATCTCTGAAGATGTTGAAACCAGGTTTATTTTATGTAAGCTTCTCAGTGATATTATGGTTGAAAATTGCTGATGAATATGAACATCCCATAAAATAAATCTGAGAAAAAAAGAACAAGATCTCTCTTTGTTTTATTGTTTTGATTACTGCAAATTAAACCAAATAGCTTATCTAAACCGTTGTACAGGTTTGTCAGTTGCTTTCAACAGATATCTATAACTTCACCTGGGTTAAAAAGCTGCTACTGTGGTAGTTGTTTGACATTAACATAGAAATGATTCAATGCCAGAGTTTTTGCTTAGATATAGAAATAATGCTTTATTTAGGTAAAAAAAAAAAAACTTTCGAGTTTTCTTTGAGGTTTGTATTTTTATTAAAGGAGTAGAAATAAAAACAAAATAGATGATATAATTACTGTCTGTAAGAAATAAATATCTATTGTTCTCCAGACATGAGAGAATGGCCAGAAATCTCTGCAAAGAGAAAACAGTCAACAAAGTTAGACTAGAGTAGACACAGACACAAGAAAGTGCTACAGAAAATAGCAGCAAAACTAAAGTGGAAATGTAACACATCCTGAGACAGCCTAACAAAATAAAAAAGCAATGCGTCTAAATGAAACTGCCCTATAAAAAGCACAATGACAATAAGATTTCATGTCTGCTAAAGTTCAGGTCTTTGTTAAAGATGCTTGAAAAAACTGCCAATACAACTCAGCAGAGATTCCCCTGTGTCTTCTAAAAGTTTTTGCAGCTTTTGTACTTGCTATGAGTTTGTGTTAAAAAAAACAACAAAAAACAATACATTATAATAAAATCAATTAAATAAAAAACACACTGACTAAAGGGTGGAGAAGAAATCTCTCTCTAATTTTTGAACTTTTAGCAAGGAATCATTGTTTTATTCCCCACAGTTAACTTTACTGTTTGATTTAAGGACCTCTACTGTCAATCTGGTAAAGTTTTTTTCCCCCCATCAAATCTAAAAGCACAACATATGGCTCATGCATTAATACAAAGAGTAAATCTGTAACTACAGCATCATAGAACATACAGATTCTAGCTAACACAAATGTTTACAATCCATTACAGTATATAAGAATGCCCTCGAAGATTATAAATCTGAAGTTAAAGTAAAACAGAAGTAAAATTGGCAAATATTATCACCTTATATTGGCATCTCCTTTTAAAGCCCTCATCATGGCATTACTTCAGCAGTAAGATTCGCATTTGATCGTCAGACATCAAAGTTCCAACCTGCACAGAACACATGGATTTCCAAATTTAATACAGCACATGGACAGAAATACAATTTAGACAGCAAAAATGTCTGCAAAAAAATGTAAAAAATGTATTAAAAACTAATCTTAATGTACTCTGAAGTTCAGACTTTATTAAAAGCAAGCACTTCGCACCTAAAAAATGAATCCAAAAGAGATGGAAGCTGATCCTTTCATCAGTAAAAATCAATGAATCCACCAGCGTTCTAACGCAAAAATAAATAACACTGGGAGGCAAACGCCACCTTTCTGCTGCTAGATGCATGAGCAGTCTTTTTATTTAGCTATTTGCCTCTGCAATACCCACTGCGCCACATTGGCGCTCTGCTGCCTTGAAGCAAGAAGGTTCCAGGTTCCAGTTTGCATGTTCTCCCTGTGCATGCATGGGTTCTCTGCAGGAACTCTGGCTTCCTCCCACAGTCCAAAAACATGAGATGACAGTTAAATGGCTTCTCTAAATTCTCCTTAGGTGTGAGTGTGTGTTTGAATGGTTGTTTGACCTGTTTGTCTGTTTGTCCCTGTGATGGACTGGCGACCTGTCCAGGGTGTACCCTGCCTCTTGCCCATAGACAGCTAGAGATAGGCCCCGGAACCCAATCTGGGATTAAGTGTGCCAGGAAAAAAAATGGATGGATGAAAACTAAGAATTCAACATTAGGCTCAATCAATTCAGAGTTGAGGATTTTCTAAACCCGCTTTGTATAACGACCCTCCTCACAGTACTCCACTTAGATAAATAAAGGTGGTAGTGACTTTAGTTAACTACTGAAAAAGTTACACATTTTGAGCTGTTTTTAATATAAGATGTCTCATTTCTACTGCAAAGTGCCAGCTTGCCGCAAAGTTATATTATTGCAGATTTTTTCACAGCTGGGGAGTGGCAGCCTAGTGGTTAGGGCATAGAGTTTGGAAGGTTCTGAGTTCAAGCCCGCTCCCATAGTCTGGCCCTCCAAGCAAATCCCTTAAACCCTGAATGCGCCACATTATGTGGTGCTGAAGCTGGTGTCAGCTTCAGTAGGATCTCCAGCAAGAATGGAGATTTGACCCCCAAAAGACCCAGATCTCCAGAATCATCAAGGATAGGTCAGAACCTTTCATACTGCCTGCTAAACTCCAACTGGATGCAAACCCAACTTTCCAAATGTAAATGGAAAAAAAAGGTTTTCAGGTCTGGCATGATTAGGGACAGAACAAACAATATGTCTTTTGATTATTTTTTATAATTTCATGCGTTTAATGATGAGTAAGGACAAGTCTAACAGGATGGACTGCATGCTATGCTATAGTAACATGTGTTGAGCTGTTGTTGACGCTTGGACAAGCTTTATTTCACTAAGGGTTTAAACACTGATATAACATTAGTGTTCATGTGTTCCTCAGATGCTCATTACATTTTGATTACAAAGTATGACCAAGAGTCGTTTAGTGGAATCCTGATATCTATTAGCTGCTAGATATTTGGAAGAGAGTAAAAAATCATTTGACTAAAGGTTATTGTTTCTCTATTAAGCAAATCATGTAATAAAACATTATTTGGTCAAATAATGTTTTATTCACCTCATGGATTTCCATTGTAAATTGGTCTGAAAACATTCCAATTTCTCTAAATTAGTGAAAAGCTAATTTGATCATATCCCAAATTCTTCCAGATAAACTGTGGTTTTCAAACACAAAATCCATCTTAAACTGTAACATGGTTTTCAACCATGTTTCCCCTCCCTCTTTATTCATAGTAGTTTAGTTTAGTTGAGTTTCACTAGTCTTAGTTCAGAGTGTTAAACTGAAATATGTTTGACTTGGAACTGAATGACTTTTGTTAATAAACTCTTATGTTTTGAACAGAAGTTGTGCTGAATTTATTCCATGTATTTGCAAGATTAACTGTTTGATCATAATTAGTGCTTGAATCACTCTTTCATCTATTGTTCTAACACACAGCTAGTGTGTTCATAAACAGTATATAACAGCCAAAATATGGGATGATTAAATAAGATATTTTGTACCCCTACTGGGGAGGGCAATAAGCATCTTAAAGTATTAAAAATATAAATTCCAAGCTGGCTGGGAGGCATCACATGAATTGATGGACTAGAAATCAACATACAAGTTAATAATCTCATTATCTCAAGAAATTAATAACTGTTTTCTCATGATAACGAGATAATTATATTGTTATCTCGAGAAAACAATACATTTTTTAACGAGATGGTTATTTCATTATCTTGAGAAGTGAAAGCAAAAGGAAAAAGTCAAGTATGATCGCTGTCGGCTTCCGTATTTTAGGGACTTTGCATGTCCGGCAGTAATGGAAATGTACTCTTGCGTAGAAAAATGTTTCCTCAGTCTTTTTTGTCCTGAACTAAATGGACTCAGGATGTTAACTGAAATGATGTTATTTTACGCTCACTGCAGAACATTCATGGAAAATGATGATTGTTTCTTTAAGTGTGAAGCTGAGGTATTGTAACGGGAACTGAAAGTTGGACCCAATATTCAGCAGACAACAGAATGTTTCAAAACAGGTTTATTTCAAAAATAACTGAAAGAGGACGATGGAAACTCCTCAGAGCGGGTTCTCTGATTCTCTGCTGAGACAGGAAACTCAGGTCAGTGACAAGAATGAAGAGTGGAGAAGACAACAAAAAGTCACTGACCTGGTTGAGAGTTCAGTTCGAAGCTCAGAGAGGAGAAACCCAGGGGGAGACAGTCCACCGCTTGCGGTCGTTACCGCTTCAAAGAACAGTGCGTGGGGGAGCCGGCGCCAGCCAACGGCAAGCGAGCTGAAGTGTCCGTGAGGGATTATGCGAAGCCGATATCCAGTCCAGAGCAGTGTCAGAAACCATGAGATCCGAGAGCCGAAGAGGTATCCAGGGAAAATCCAAGCCGAGGTCAGAAAAACAGTCCAAGTTCGATAACAGGCTAAATCCAGGCAGTCAGGCCAAAAACCAAACTAAGCAGGGCAGACAGGGAGAAAGGCAAAAACCAAAAACATATGGGCAAAAAACTTCCACTGAAAAAAAACACTTACTTGATAGCTGAGTAACTCACACAGAGACAGGTTGAATAATCTGACGCTGATGGCAGGAAAGCAAACAGCCTAAATAGCTGCAGGGACCAGGTGAATCAGATTGGCAGTAATCAGCCACAGGGCCAATTAGGCAGGTGAGCAGGAGCAGAGGAGAAAACCCAACCATCAGTGCCAGGATTATGACAGGTATTTCTTTTATCTCACAAGCAACCCATCTTTCTTCTCTGATAAAGTTTTACTCTTGAATAGTTGTCAAAGGTATGGCAGACTAAAGGCAGACTGTCTTTACCAAGCCACTAAGTCATTAAGGAAAAAAAATTTTTCCACTATTTATAAAGCTACAGTGTGTAATTTTCATCGACATCTAACGTCCAGACTGCAGACTGCAGCAACATGAACATCTCCCCCCCACCGCTTCTCCCCCCCAACAGTACGGCGAGCGTTACGGGACAAAATGTCTTCCACGACGTCCGCATCACCTACCTTCTCAAGTGATGAGGTTTGTTTACATAGATAATTTTACAGATAGTATTTCATTAGTCTGTGTGTTCAGTACCGTCTCAGTTCATGTCTCTCAACTTGCCGTAGTTACTTTCGAGCGTAATGGGCGATCTCGCAATCGCTAGTTTGTTGGCTCTGCGCTGCCGTAGCGCAAAGATGTCTGCCTCCATGGCTGCGAGACCCGCTCCTATGTAATTATAAGTAATTAATTCTAAGGCAACGCAAATATTAAGGTTAAAAGGCTGAGCTCGTAGATGATGATAAATAACATAGTTATTTATAATATATTA